CTTTCTAGTAATTGTATGAACAGCGATAGATTTGATAATATTCTAACATTACATATTGATATTAATCCTTTCATTTTATGAACAGATGGATTAGAGGTGTAATAAATAGGTATATATTTTCTGCGGATTTGACTTACATAAGCATTTGAACATATAAACAAATAATGATACTCGCTTCCAACTCCAGTAAAACAAAGCGGACAGATTCTGCCTTCACGTGGTGTTCTAGTCCATCGCCCAGTCTCTATAGGCAGAGATATATTACTGGTTCTGAACTTACAGATAGTTATTCTATCTTTTTGTTTGAGCATAGTTAAGTATTTTTCAAACTGAAATTGATGTTTAAATATTGCATATGTTTGACCCCGGGAAGAATTTTCAATATCAGTATACCATTGTTGTATAAATTGGTCATACAGAATAGTTTTAAAACTAACCCTAAGGTAATTTTTATTCATAGTGCAAGGTGTTTTTTTCCCAGAATTATTACAAGGATGTACATGCATTTTACTTTTTTTGAGGTTTTCGTCGTATTAAGACGTAGCAAGTTGTTCAATCCTTTTCATAAACCATCTTGAATTAAATTGGTTGAAATGAAAAGAACTGAAAAACCACCAGTACCTAGCGACTGCCCCGCGTAGGTCTCGAAACCAATTCAATTCAGTTTATTCTCTTTACAATACAAAGTATAGAGCAACATATTTACAAGATAATTTACAATACAGATGTTCATAAGGTAATAAGTCACACAAGCACAATCTTATCAATATTATTCAAATAAATTTTGTTACATTCATGCATATGCTGATGCAGTTTCCATGTCATCATTGCGGTTACTATATTTAGTAACAACTTCGAGATAGAAATAATGCACATATCATGTGATTAACGCCGCTTTTTATATAAACTTAGATAAACTTTATTATTTTGTAATAAGGTAATCGAATTGTCCTATTTCCGTACAGGGGCGTCTACTGTACATATATACTGGGAAATTTTCGGTTTTTTCGACTTCCGTAATGAGGTCGATTTTTTCATTACAGCGTCGAATGGTGAAAATCTGACTTGGCGGGAAATTCCCGGTTTACATTTTTTTGGTTTGGAATCCTGTACAAAAAAAAAATTCACAGGATGTGTCATATGTCACGTATACCTCACATAATATTTTATTGACGTTAGCGATTTTGTTTTATTATTCATTTTGTGATTCAAAATTATAAAACAAGATATTATATTTCAATAACAAATTGTATGTTTTGTTGTTTGCGTCAACGACGCTGGCTTGATATAAAATTAACTTCTTTCAAGAAACGAAACGTAGCTCGACAACACTTCGGCTGTGTATATTTAGGCCCTTCATCAATGCGTAAGTCTCTGGCATGTCTTTTGCAAATAATTTTCTTCTTTTGTAAATAATGAAATGTATATTTGAAAAAATCGCACAAAATCCACATTGCCAGCAGAATTGTTACATTAATTTTGCGCTTTCAAATACAATATCTGACTATATAAAAAGAAACACGTGATCTTTGGATCAGTTGTTTGTGCTGGGCAAAGTAATATCAGGTTGTGTATTGGAGTATCATTTAAATGGTCAGAATTGCAAAATAATTTCTTAAAGAATCCTTCAATGATGGATAAGTGTAAAAGAATTCGATACACTCTAATAAATGTTGAATTGTTTTATGTTTCTAGATTATATACAAGACATTTATAACAAGAAGCTAACATAGTTTCTTTTATTTATGTGAGCATGTAGAAATGTAAGTCAAGGTATACATGGGGGTACATAATTCTTATAGATAAATTTTAAAATAAACCCACCGCGATCACCATTACACCAAGGACTCCCATTACAAAAAAACACGAAATGAAATGTACATGTACTGAATTTAATCATTTGTCGGATTTCGAGTCTCTTATTAAATAATATATAGACTATCTGTAATTTAGAAAACGCCAACTTTTGCCAAGAACTGTATCTATATGCACATTAATTAAATATGCATAGCTTCATCTATTTAGGAAGTCTATTTTATTAGCGTGTTTTCCGAAGTGTTAAATGACAAGTCATAAACGACAACGGGTAATTGTAATAAAATAATTTTATTTCCATACTCATCCCTTTCTCTACTACATAATGTATTATGTGAAAATTACCATGTAGACATGTTTGGCATCAGAAAGCAGTAGCCTTCCCAAATCAATGCTCGTCAGGTTCCACGTGACTCGCTGATCGATCGATCTGTCTCAATATCACGTATAGTGCTTATCGACGGTTTTACTATCTACAGTCCTCTCACTGAACTCTGACCTTTAACTACATGTACTGGTTTTGGTGGCCTACAAAAACAACAAGAGAATAAAGAAGTGTCAGCGAAACTTTAATTCGAACTCAAAATCGATAATGAAGGGCAAAATATAAACAAAGGTACACTAATGATCATTATGGAACATATTGATCTTCATGTGACACAATGAAATAGCATATTTCTCTATAAGAACATGATGGTGATGGTTAAATCTGTTTATAATCTTCATTAACTTGTAAGTTTGGAAACCCTTTGTTGTAAGTTTGTTCGTCAGCAGTCGACACCTATAACGGAAGTCGTGATATTGCTCCTGTATACCGCTAAATACTGTAGGTTTAGCAAGGATGTTGTTATCAAGAAAGAGAAAGTTCTTGGAAAATCGAAATTGTATCGCTCATCGTACAGTTTAGAAGCAAACCGGCCCTAATGGTCGTGTTGAAAGTTAAGGAAAGTAGCTGAAGCAGATAAGTCTGTAGTGTACTTGATTTAAAGATGGAAAGGGTATATACGATCGAGTTGTCAATAAATTTCTATTTATTTAAAATACAGCAGATCGTCGATAAATCTGAACTTTAAATTGTCAAGGTCTTTGTAACCAGCTCATCTTTAGGTTAAGCCTCAAATGAAAGGAAAAACAAAACAAAACAAATCGGCCAGAAGAAGGGAACGGTTTTCTGCCATAGAAATGCTCACTACATGTACCTGCTGGAAAGGAAAATGTTGTCACCGGACTCGACAAAGACATTTTCAACGAGTATCTACATCATTTTCACAATTTCATCCGCAGTATATTGCATTTTAACCTTTAAACTCCGAAATAATTTACACGTTGTCTACGCAATACCGTGGTGCATATTCGGTAGCTTCAATAAATCAAACTTAAGTAGAATTTGTTTTGCGCCTCGACAAATATCCAAATTATCAGTTTTATGATAAAATAAACATATTTTATCATAAAAACTGATAATTTGGATAAATTGTATTTGATAAAATAAACATATTGAAAAGGAGCGGGTGAAACAAATTAATGAAAGTTGCATCTGGAAAATGCCATTATGGTACAATAGGAATTTTACTATTGGGGGAAAATCAATATTTTTCAAGGCATGTTATAATAAAGGAGTGACTATAATTTATGACTTAATAAAAGACATTGAGACTTGCACTTTTTACACATTTCAAGAATTTGCTCAAATTTATCAGGTAAATACAAATTTTCTCCAATATCATGGTGTATTAACTACAATAAGGAAATATTTAG